GAAGCAGTACAGTGGTGGAGACCCTTTGAAGTCCTTGAGAAAATACTGGAGTAACAAGTAACAGCCTCTAGGACCCCACTGAGCTCAAAATGTGAAAAGTCACACGAGAGAGGTAAAATCCCAGAGATATGTCTCTCTCGTGTATATACACACACGAGTGAGCACACACATATGAATCTAAAAATTCTACTTAGCTAAGGGCTCTACTATCCCAGTGCTGGGCCCCAGAAGGAGACAGGAGGTAAACAGAGACCAGGGATCCTGAGCTAGCCAGCAAATCTAGCAGAATCAGCAGGCTCCAGGTTCAGTGAGAGATCCGGTCTTAAAAAACAGTGGAGACTGGAGAAAACACCAGATGTTGCTCCTGCCCTCCACACACATGTAAACTGGTGTGCACACACACCACATGAACCTACCCACCAAGGAAGGGGGAAAGTCGAGTTTGATGTAGATTCACAAAAATACAGACAGGAATGAAGTGTATGAAAGGTTTCCTGCATACACAACTTTTCCTGTGCCTTCCCGGATCTGAGAAGGACTCTGTCGTAAGGTCTCTCAAGCTACCAGATCATCTCTCACCATAATACAGTGGTCAAATTAAAGTTCTGCTGGTCCCAGGTTCTCTGTTGGAGCAAACTGACAGTCAGTCAGCACTCCTAACAGGTCCCTTAGTCTTTCTTAAGAGCCACTTTGAATCTTTCAAAGAACTACTTTGAATCAACTATTGTGACTGCTGGCTTGTGACTGACTAGATTGAAAGTACTAGCAACTGTGACTACAACTATCTCACTCTGGGTCACATCCTTCAAATGATTCAGTGCAAACAGGACATTACTGCACACCTATGCCAACTTGTAAGCCAGGTCTCTTTCCTTCTTCTACTTGCAATGACAATTGCTCTTCATGGGACACAGTCCTGGCTTCTAAAGGCAAGAAAACACAAGAAGGTCCAAGTGAACTCAAGGTATAAAACAGGACTGGAGAGATGGTTACACTCGGTAGTTCCATGCACTTGCTACTCTTGGCAAAGGCTCCAGGGTGGATTCCCGGAACTGTTAAGTCCAGGCCCAGAGGAATTGATACCCTATTCTGACCTTAAAGGTTCCAGGTTTTTAAGATGATAAAAAGATCCCCCCCACACACAAAGTTGAGGCATTTGGAACCTCAACTAACTGCTCAGTGGCAGAGACAAATCTGAGTTTTCTGAAGAACAGCATGGACCTCACAGCCTGGGTTCATCTGTGGACCACAACTCCTGCTGAACTTCAAGATCTAAATTTCCAAAAAGGTTGTACTCTCCAGTGAGCTTTTAAGATGTCTACAAGATAATTTTCTCTAACAAGACTATGAGACTCTGCAGATATTGACTCTAAACCTCATGAAACAGTTCCTATGAAATGCCACAAAGATGGTCATTCAAATGATATAATTCCAGTACAGAACCTCAAGCATCCTTTCCTACTGCACACAGCGGCTTCCCAATGCACGTGGGCACATTACTCAACTGAGAAGGGGAGGAGAGATGGTTCATGGGAAGAAAAAGAAAGCACAAGTGTAACACTAATGCACCAAGTTAAGGCTTGACACACATTAAACAAAAATGTTGCCCTTTAACACAGATTTCTGAGTCTCAGGGTTGAGAACAGAAAGCGCACACACAGGCCAACAGGAACACAAAGTGAGTAGTAACCAGGCTGACGGATCACGTAGGTGATCCAGATGCTTACAATGGGGCTGAGACCTTATTCAAACGAGGAAACTAAGACCTTGAAAAGTAATTAATTGGCTGTACATCATGCAACTGCCAACCTGACCAGGGTGCCCTGATTTGACAGGCTCTGCTCCCCAAAGGCCATCAACTGCAAACCCCAAAGTTCTCAACACTTGATAACCACTCCAGCATCTTCAATGTCTTTGTGCTGTGTGGTTTTCAACAACGAGGTTACAAACAGCCATCCTGTTTTTTCATTCTGTCTATGTACTCGAGTTGGTGTGCGTGCAAGTACACCTGTATACGTATGCACACAAGCCAGAGGGGCAGCCTCAGGTGCTGTTCCTCTGGAGCCATCACCTTGGCTTTCCCGTAGATAGGGTCTCTTCAGGACCTGGGGCTCTCTGATCCGGTGAGGCTCCCGGTCAGCCACACGCACTTGTTAAGTGGGTGCTGGGGTTCCGGCTCAGGTCTCATGCTTGCTGGGAAACACCTCCTGACTGAGCCATCTCCCAGCTCCAATAGTTCTCATTCTTAAAAAGTCATCTTTCCTCAAATACAAATACATAAATAAATACAGAGACTCCATAACAGGATTTATCTCTGGAGAGACTGATACCCAACCATCCTCACTTCCTGTAACAGCAGAGAGATGAAGGCAAATCTATCTCACCTTCAATAAAACGGCTGGTTCCATGATTTTTTTTTTCAAACACACCATCCACCAACCCGAAATCTATGATCATGCTCACAGCCGCTCCCAGACCATGAGCTGACAACACCCATCCCTAGTCTTTCCCCATCAAAAGCCACCCAAAACCTCTGATGCTTTCCAAGTCTTCAATACCAAGACTAACCCATGAAAGCCTCCCTTTTACCAGCTGACTGGGAGCTGTTAATAGAGACCTGCCACAAACACCACAGTTAAGACTTCTAAGCCACAGAGTTCATTTCTACGAAAACTCCCTATCAGGAATGCTGAAACCAATCTGGATTGTAACTAAAATCAGGGCCCAGTGTCGATGAGCAACCTTTCCCAAGGATGACTGTCAAAGAACCTAACTTCCTAACTAACACAGAGAGACAGACGAAGGCATCCACTGAGCAAGTCTCCTCCAGTCTCTGTCCAAAGGCAAAGACGTCCATTATGACTGGGGTCTGGGTTCTAGTTCAAATGTTCTTATCTGCTTGGACATCTTCAGAGAAAAAGTATCAATCTTTTCTTAAACAGAACAAACTTTCCAAGAATTTCCACCGTGATCACAGGCCTTGCCCTAAGGCTCAGCCTGAAAGGACAAGCAGAAGCCTCAGTCCTGACCACACTGCCTTGGAACAGAAAAATCCAGGGAAATCCCTGCAAGGCCTCAGACCTAAGGATGTACTTCCTCTTCTGAGCTGGAAAGCCCCAAAGCAGGCCATCCGCCAACCCTGCCATGCAGCCTTAAAGAGAGATTCAAACTGGCAAGTTCTGCAGGGGAAGGAGAGGGAGAAAGGAAGAGGAAGCTGAGGGAAGTGGTCCAGACTCTGGACCCCCGAAGAGGGGCAGCTATGACAGACAGCTCGCCTCTTGCCTGCATGCAAACTGCCCTGTTGCTGTCAGATCCACAGCAAGCTTTGCTCTCACCTTTGAAGGTGGCACTACAGAGCCCCTAGGAAACCTGAACAGTCCTCTGAAAACTGAGGGGAGCAAGGAGCCTGCACTGGAGCAACTGCCACAGCTCAGCTTGTGTGGGAGGGGGACCCAAGGATGTGGCAAGTGGGTGAAGGCATGGCAGAGGTAGAAACCAAAGACTCAGGACTCTGGTGTACTAAGTGGCCCGGCCTCAGGGAGAACGGAAGTGGACTAGACTGGAGAGGTCTGGACCATTGATGAGGTGGGGGAAGTGAGAACAAGACTGGGAGACAGACGTTTGGTCCCAGACAGGATTGAGGAATTTGCAACTGAAGGGTGGAGGCTGAAAGACAGAAGCGAGTGGGCGGGACTGAAAGATAAGTGAGGGCGGGATCAGGCAGGGACGAGGGCGGGGCTAAGAGAGGAGAGGGGGAAGCAAGAGAGCTGGAGATGAGGAGGGGGTGAGGTAGGAGAGCAAAGCGCAGCAAAGCAGACGAGTAGGGGGTGGGGTGATGCGAAGGTACTAGTGGGGGAGAAGTGAGAAGGCAGACAACAGGTCATGGGAGAGGGTGGGAAGAAAGCAGGGGAAGTGATGAGAAGCCGCAAGGGGAAGAGGGAGGACACAGGTGGGTGGGTAGTGAGGGGTGGGACTGGAGGGGGACGGCAGGTAGGAGGATGGTGAGGGAGAAGAGATGGATGATGAAAATGTGAGGTGGGGGTGGAAAGAGCAAAAGGAGGTGCAGTGAGCGAGGGGGCGGGATATACGTGAAGTTGAAAGTAGGTGTGTGGCTGTGGGAGCTAGGTACAAGGCCCGGAGAAGAGCAGGGAGGGGGTAGGTGTGGATCAGAGGGTGCTGGGGGCGATGTCAAGAGAGGAGCACCAGGGGTCCAGCGGGAGACCCCGAGGGGGTCCTATATGCACCCGAGGGTAGGTGTGGGGCAGAAGGGAGAGCCAGGAGATGGTCCTGTAGAGGACCTGTAGAGCTGGGGGCGGGACCTGATCCAGAAGGGTAAGGTTAGGGGCAGAGGGAGGCAGTTTGGGGGCGTGGCCCATATGCAATTGATGGTAGGTGTGGGCAGAGGGAGTAGTGGGGGTTGGAGGGTAGGAGACAAGCTTAAGGGGAAGGAGCCAGAGGCGGGGCCATGAGAATCAGCCAGAGGGGCCTAATCTATGATAGAGGGAAGAACTGCAGGCCAGGCTTAATGCAGAAAAAGCCAGCTGCCTGAGCCTGCAGAGCGAGCAGGGGGCGGGGAGTGATGCAGAGGGCGGGGCCACAGGGCGGGGCACCAAAGCTTCAAAGTAGTCAAGGGTTGGGGCCTATAAGGGGGAGGGGGCGGGAGTCTGCAGAAGAGTCGAGGGCTGAGCCTAGTTAAGGAAGAGGGCGAGTCTGCAGATCAGCGAGGCGTGGCTTGATGCAGAGGGAGGGCGGGGCTGCCGCAGCGGGGCGTGTCCTGAAGTGTCGGGGGCGGGGCCTGGTGCAGAGGGAGGGGTCGGGACGGCAGGGGCGGCGCCTGCAGAGCACCCGGGGGGCGGGGCCGGGAGCGCGAGCGAGGGGCGCACGCCGTAGGGGGTGCAGCGGTCCCGGGACAACGGCCGGTGCAGGGGGGGCGGGGCGGGAGTCCGCAGGGTCCCTGGGACCGCCTAGGGGCGCGAGGGCCGCGGCCCTGTCGTGCCTACCTGTCAGACGGATCTTGATGCTGGAGCCGTTCCTACGGGTCCCGGGGTTCGACATCTCCCGCCAGCGGCCGGCCGGCCTCGGATCCAGTGCCGCCGCCCCCCAGCCCGGCCCGGCCCGGCCCCGCCGCCGCCTCAAGGTTACGGCCACGGGTTGGGCGCCGGGGTCCGAGCCGGGACGCCGAGTGCGCGGCGCAGGCGTCGGGACGGAGACCACGGGCTGAAACCGTAGAACCGAGCGCTCGGCCGCACTGCCGCCCGGAGCCGCCCCTGGCTGGCCCAGCCCGGAGCCGCCGCGCTCGCAGCCGGACGCCCGCCGCCCTCGCTGCTTCCGCCGCCGCCTCCCGAGCTGCGCGCGCCCGCCACCGTGCCGGCCCGGCCCTGCGCGATCTCGCGTCTGCGTGCGTGCGCGCGCCCGAGCACGGCGCTACGCCGACCGCGCTTGTCCTGGGCGCGCGCGAGGGGGTCTAGGGAGCTGCAAGGTTCCTGCAGCCGGCGGGGAGCCTTGAAACAGACACCACCGCCACCACACACACACGCACACACACTCACACACGCACACACTAGCGGCGCAGTGGGAGCTGGTTCTCAGTCACAATCTCAGAAACAACTGATTTGCTTGGGCGACGATTTGGGGAACCGATTGTTTCTTCAGTGTCGGACTTTTCAAGGCTCCTGAGGGAAGCCAGGGTGTTGCGTGAAACCTCAAGAACCGTGCGCGCGTGCGCGCGCGGGCACACGTTATCGTTCTTGAGGAAATAACGTTTAGATCCTGCAAGTTCCAAGGGAAGACTTCCCGCAGTGATCCAGTGTCGGATGTGCCCTGTGCAACTGGTGTATTCGATTGACAAAGTGGCTAGACTCGCAGGAAGTGCTGCATATGGACCAGCTAAACAAGATAAAGGGTGTAAACGGAGAGGTGGTGGTTTTGCGGTTAGGGACCTGCATGCAATTGAACTAACCCAGAAAAGTAAGCAGTAGGGTTTGCAGTTCCCTCCCTGCCTTCCGATGAACCCAGCCCCAAACCCCCAGAGTGTCAGGCAGGTAAAAAGTTAAAAGCCGTGCTTTCCCTCGCAAGCAAACCAATCTCTATGGTAACGCATTCTAGAGAGGTAATAAAATGTTCTTGAAAAGGCCGTGTATATTTACCAAACTCACATCTGACCCGAACCTAATTCATTTCATGGGCAGATTCTTGTCGCGGCTATGTGGCTCCCTTAGAACCGACTACCCAAAACATTTGACCACCCTCTTTGGAGACAGGCTCGCCTGGAGCTAAGGCTGACCTCAAACCTGTGATCCCCCTCCTCAGCCTCCTGAGTGCAGGGATTACAGGTTTGTACCTGTCCCTGTCCTGGGCAGTTTGGTTTTTATGAGCCTGTGCAGCCCAGACTTTTGAATAACGGTGGGAAAATATCTAAGAATAGGATCCTGTATGGGCAACGATTAATCCAGACTCTAACTCTGTTTCCATTTCTAAGCACTTGTCACTGAGAGTGAGATCCTATGTCGGAATACATCCATTTAAGAGAGTCTTTGATTGGTGTTAGGAAACTAGCTCCTTTGGTAAGGTATTCATTGTGCAAGCACAAGAAGCTAGGTTTTGTGAGGCTTTTTAGATATTTCTATTATCTATATATGAGTGTTTTGTGCCGTGTTTGTATGTGTGCATCAGAAGGTGTTAGATCTGGAACAAGTGGTTGGGAGCCACCATGTGGGTGCTGGGAATTGAACTTAGGTCCTCTGGAAGAGCAACATGTGCTCTTAACTGTTCAGCATCTCTCCAGCCCCAAGGACCAGGTGTGCTGGTGAGTTTGGGTGATCCCAGCCCCGGGGAGGTAAAGACAGAAGGATCCCTGGGGCTTACAGGGCAGCTAGAGTCCATGAATTGGGGAGACCTATGCTAACAGGAGACTGCTTTAGGGAAAAAGGGGGTGTGGGGCATAAAGTGTCCAGCAAAACTGAGGTTAACCTTGCTCTGTCTCTCTCTCATACACACACAGACACACACACACCCCTCACGTTCTTTCTTTTTCTTTCTAGCTCTCCCACAGGCTTCCCTCTTTCCCTCTCCTTGGCTCTCTCTCCCTGCACCTCTCTCCTTCCCTCCTTGCCTCATTCTGTGTATCCTCAACCGTACCTCCCTTCTCTCTCATTCCTCTTCCTCCCATCTTTACCCACTCCCCACCCCTACCCCTGTGCCCTCTCCTCCTTTCTCAGTCTCTCCCCTCCCCCATACCTCCTCTCTCCCTGCCTCAGCTCCCAGGTGCTTTTCCTCCTGGGTCCCTTCCCCAGTCGGTCCTCACCCAGGAGTCTTGGATTGCTCCACCTCTTTGGTTTCTTACCTGCCTAGAAGTCTGGACCTTTCTTTGCCTGATCATCCCAACCTGAGTCACAAGTGTGCCTCTTGGGGGCTACTGAAAGTCACTTCCTCTGCCCATTTACTGAGAGCCTGTGCTGTGTGTCTGTTAGTTGGAGAGCGTCCTAACAGTGTTCTGCCATACCCTCATCAGAGAGAAGACCGTCCTCCATGCTTTGTTTGCCGTGTGTGCGTTCCTGTGTGCCGCTGCCTGAGCACATGTGGACACACATCTGTAACATACAGTCAGACATTATCAGGTGTCTTTGCCAATCACTCCCCACCTCAATTCTGAGACGATTTCTCACTGAACCTGAAACTTAGTGATTCACCTGAACTGGCTGGCCAGCAAGCCCCAAGCTCCCTTATCTCCCCGCCCAGCACTGGGATTACACATATGGAATGCCACACCTAGCATTGACTGCCAGAGCCTGGAATCCAGCTCAGATCCTCAGACTCGCAAGGCAAATGCTTTATTGACCCTCCCCAGCCCATTTGTCTTTAAGACAAGATCTCATATAGCCCAGGCTGACCTGAAACGCAGTATGTAGCTGATGATAACCTTAAATTATTAGTCCTCCTGCCTCCATCTCTTGAGTGTGAGAAATACGAGACTATATCATGAGGTCTGATGTTGTGTACCTACTAGGAACCGAACCCTTGATTTCCTGCATGCCAGGCAAGCTCCCTACCCACTGAGCCACATCCTCAGCCCCTTCCCCACCTTTTGACTACCAAACAATATGACTTTCATCCCTAGAGCAAGGTCTTCTATGACTCTAAATTAATTCACTTTCTTTCTTTCTTAAGCATTTTCTTTCTTAGGCATTTCTTTCTTAAGCAAAGAGAGGACTGAGAGCCAGACACAGCCAGTCTAACTCAGTCGGGGAGGTCCAGACTCCACCTCAAAATACAAGGTGGACCCCTGCAAGATCCTGTGTGTGGATCCACTCCAGTAAAAGATCTTGACCATCCAAGTTCGATCCCTGGACCCACAGTGTAGAAAGACAACCGACTCCCACAAGCTGTCCCATGACCTCCAGAACTACATGGCTAATGCTAATACTCTCAACCCTTCCTTCATTTATCCTGTTATTTCTAAGAGGCCTTTAGGACCTCTTTCTAAACTTGTAACGGCCGTTTCTTTTGTAACGGCCGTCAGGTTCTGTTACTTTGTAAAGGC